AACTCCGTAGTTCCAGTATTCAGATTAACATAATTTGGAGGTAAATTTTTAATTTCTTACATGAACAGTGTCAGCTAGTAAAAAGATGTTTAGGAAACGTGAAGAAATTCTTGTTCTTTACTTAAGAGGGACCCCAGGCAGTCCTGTTGGATTGTTCAGATCATTACTCCAATTGTAATTATGCATTATACCCATCTTCAACTTTAATCTAATGACGAGGTAGCCTATGGAACAAGAAAATTTCGAAACAATTTTTTGCTTATAGAGAACATACATAGCCATTTGGATTTGTCAAATCAAAGTGGTTGCTGTATTCAACAAAGAGCTTCTGAGTTGGTACCTCATCACACTCAAGCTCAAAGAAACAGTTGAATCTGGCCTTCAGAATGCACAAACTCCCACCATCGCTAGATCAATCGAGTTCCCTGAACAATCCCACTAAGAACACTTGCAGAAATAAGAAAACCAAGCATGGAATTCATTGCAAATCGAGGTCAAGGATGAAACCAGGGATGATGATAAGGTTACCACTTCACCAGAATCCGAGTGGGTACTGATCAGCATCAAAGAAAAACTTTATCAAGATTGCAATGAGGATGAAGCTGGCTCGTGGGCAAAGCTTTGCATCTGCAGGTAATGTTGAACCACTTCATCTAAAAGTTTAAGTTGTTAAAGATACATATTTATTTCTTATAAGTCTTGAACATTGCCTCCAAGAAGGTGGTGTTGTGATGATACAGCCTACATTGGACAGATTGTCTCCTTGAGGCCTTATCACCACAGCAGGTGGCGTCTACTCAACATGGACAGTCATTAATGGCGCCTTCACCACAATCTCAAGCATACCAATCAAGACATAATATATCTTGATGCATCAAAGAAAAACTTTTGCTATGCGTGGTTCAGTGCACTCAATTCTGCGTGATATGATCATGCTTGAAAATCAGATTCATACTTAATTGATTATTAGGCCTTCAGATTGGAAATCCGGATCAGGAAGGGACGGTGGCTAAGCTGGCACTGAGGTTTTTCGATCCATTAATGCCCAACGTATGAGCCAATGACAAAGAGTCACAGAAACAAATTGGAGTCGTCTATGGAAAACTCGAGTACCTATGATCCATTAACGTACCAGGGTGGGCTACATTGCCTGGAAGTTTTCAGGTGGAGTCTTCTGTTTAAGCGTGCAGGGCCAAAACCAACGCCCTAGAATCTAGATCAAAAGATGATCACACACTAATCGAGTATCAGATAAACTAATATAGCAATTGATTCATTGTGTCATGGAGCTATAAGACGCAGGGATGAAGTTCAAGAAAAGGAAAACAGATCGATTCTGGGATGTAAAGTTCAAGAATGGAATTCTCAAGATTCCTCGTCTTTTAATCCACGGTGGTACNAAAAGGAAAACAGATCGATTCTGGGATGTAAAGTTCAAGAATGGAATTCTCAAGATTCCTCGTCTTTTAATCCACGGTGGTACTAAATCACTCTTTGTTAATCTTATAGCATTCAAGCAATGCCATTTGGATTGCACAAATGAAATAACATATTTGGATTGCACAAATGAAATAACATCATATGTAATTTCATAGATAACTTGATCGATTCGTGTGAGGATGTGAGTTATTTACACCACTGCAGGATATTTGAGCATTGGCTTGGGAGTGGTGACGCGGAAGTTGTTATCTATAGACGCAGAACAAGTTAACAAATATGATCATCATAGATGGAATGCACAGAGGGCAAGTTTGAGGCATGGATATTTCAATAGTCTATGGACGACCATTTCGTTCTTTGCTGCTTCTGCTGACATTAGCGCAAACATTTTTCGGGGTTTATGGTTATTACAGATCAAGTTCTTGAATACTACATTATACTTTTGGGTTTCCCATTTTGCAAAATATACTGATAAACTGTTGAATTGTCTGCTTATAGGTTTTTTTCTTTGTTATCTCAAGTTTGTTCACAGTGCTTTCGTTAACTTGAACAGGCATTAAGTTTTGATTTGACTCTCTTGTAAACATGAGTACATTCATTGATAAGTTGGTGTGCGAACTGGATCCGATTTTGACAAAAGATCCAAGATCAGTTGATATTTCAAGGGAAATTTCGAAAGCCCAATGTCATAAAGAACTGGAACGATATGATTCAAAATTTCACATAATAAAAACCTAACCAATATGCATTTCCCAAGAGAGTCCAAAAAAATTTCTTCGAACAACAAACCGGTCATTACCAGTATACAACTTCTTGATTCAACGTGGATGATATTTACACATTCTAAGGAAACAAAGTTCAGTATGATCGCTGTCTCTGGGAACTTGATGATAACTGGTGATAGCGTCCTCAAAAGCTAGCCTAGGAATTGAGAGAAAAATGTTTAGAGGTGGGATCGAAAGATAATTTTACAACAATTGCATGTGCTTCAAATTGAAACAAATTACCCTGATTACCAGCAAAATTCATCTAAGAGGAAAGGCCTTCGTTATCAGCTGATGGTGCACTTTTTCTGTTATACCTCTGAAAGGGGAAATAAAGCTTAAAGTTAAGGACTCGGCACCGACTAACAGATAATTGAAGTGAACCATACAATACTAAGGCTAAAATATTTAGACATGTGGTGGTTTCACTGTACCTGCTTTCCAAAGGAAAATGGAACATATTTGTATTTTATCATATGTTGAATCTGTCTCCTCAGAGTAAGCATGCAAAGAATGATCCAGTAGAAAAGGAGAATTGGCCAAAAAACAGGCACATCAAAAATGCTGAATAATGTCAACACAAAAGCGATACAGAAGGCTTTGGTGATCGAGTACCTTGAGAGAAGAAAACCATGAAGGTTAAATGAGCATAAATAGCCAGAAAGCAAGACATTTGGCCTTTAATGTCTTGTGCAGTTTATGGCATTAGTAATAAACTTTTTACTTCTGACTCCTTACAATTAAACGCACAACTCTTGTGAGGTTTCAGACCGCTTTAAAAGCACACAATAATAGATTATGGTGCCATCTGTTTAGACAAAATAATGATATAAGAAATAAGCAAGTTGACCCAACTTCCACTCCAGTCCTAAAGAAAGACCTTCACACTAGAATCTCTGGACCACAACCTTAAGAGCAGACTACAATATGCTTATCCACATTGCCATTTAGGAACAAAAATTCATCCCATGAGCACAAAGAGAGACCCATTTGCACCCTAAGCCAATTTCTGACTGGCAGGCTATGGCCGATAAGCATAGACACCAATAATAAATCATGATACTTTATTGTTCTAGACAGAGCATCAGATGTTTTATGCAAATACCTAATGATAGAACACAGTAGAAAAGCAGCATCTTAGAAGCACCATGGGTATAGCAATTACTACTATGTAGAAGCAAGGTCAGCATGTGGACTAGACTTATTGATGCACACAGAGGATACAGGCAAAACAGCAATTGTGCCTGGTCCTTTTTCAACATGAAAGTACCTAACACAAAAACCACAAAAGTTCCAAGAAATACTAACTCAGCATAAAGCCTATGTTGTGGGCTGCCTCTCTATTATTGAATTGGGCCAATTCTTATTGTCATTGGGCCACATTGTTAGGCTATCGGGTTTTATCCTCAAGTAAAACACGTTTTTAGAAACACGCATTTTTTTCTAAATTGTGAGATTGATTGCTGGCCCTACATCTGGTCTTGCTGGGACCGTTGGATTTGGACTCCTTCGTTGGACTATAAAAGCCTCCCGTGACCCTTTGTGGCATGAATAGTCTCAATTTTTAGGGTTTTCTCTTCGTCTCCTTTGAGAGATCTTTCTGCTTCGTGTTTTTGATCTTCACTGTCTTGATGTTTGTATTGTATTTTGTATACAATTTGAGAGATCGTGAGGAGAGCAATTTCTTTGTAAAGAGAAGCGAAAGAAAACTCAAGTGAAGAAATTGTGGTTTCTTCATACATTTTGTATCGATTCTTTGTGATTTTTAGTGAATTTAAGCCACATCTACTTGGTAGATGCTCAACAGGTGAGTAAGCTTCGACTGAACGTCCGAGCCCTAAGGGGCTAAAATTTCTTGGTGTTGTTACCTTCTGCAATTTACTTGTTTTTCAAAATGTTTTCGTGTGAATAATCAATCCTAAGACCTAACAAGTGGTATCAGAGCACCCTTTCTCAAAGGGTTATGGTTCAAGTTTAAAAGTTTTTTTGAAAACACTAGATTGCAGATCTAAAACCTTTTATAAAGTTCTTGAGTTTTCTGGAAACTAAGTGTGTTTTCTGAAATTTCTAGCCAAGATTTACCTTCGATTCAATATTTGATTGGATCCTTTAAGTACTTTGTGATACTGTTTTTTACTTTCTTGAAAGAAAGTTGTATTTCTTGGATTTCTTAAAGTTTCTTTTTTGGGTTCTCTGATAACCTTTTAGTTGTATTCTTTCAAAACTCATTCTGAGTGATGATGAGTTATCTTGACTCACTCTGATTCCAGCTGGTTTCTTATGACTCGTTACTAAATCATATTGAGTTGCTGTGACTCGTTAGCTTCCTGTGTAATATCTTGGATTGTGCAACCAGTTCTAGTACTCCCTTATTACCTTCTTCATCCTAAAACATTAAGGTTTCAGTTCTGGTATAAATCCTTTACTCTTTCTATTTTTCAGTCAACTATTAAATTGTGTATTGTCTATATTGAGTTAGTCATTAAGGTAAGTGATCTACTGTTACCTTCCTATGTCCAAGGTGTCCTACAAAGACCTAGGGTAGTGGACTCACGGGTCACCACTCCTTAAGCTTTTCAAATTGGCAGCTTAATTTGATTTAGATTGTTTTTGTTGATCAACTATATATCTTGATATTAAATTGTGATATTGGAACCTTTATTGTTCTCTCATACTGCTTATACTCGTTATATCCTATGTGGTATATAAACTTGAATCTGTGACTTTATCTGTAATCTTGACTACTGCACAAAAATTTGAGGTAGAAATATGGAGAGGGACTGGAGACTCTAGTTTGTGGTGTCAGAAAATGAGCGCCTTGTTATTACAACAGAGATGTGCTGATGCTATTGATGGGACATGGGGTATTGAGATTAGTACCTATAGAAGACAAGAATTAGATGAGATTGCCTAGAGCTCTGTATTTTTGCACCTGTCTGATAGTGTTATTAGGAAGGTAAAACTACTAATACAAAAGGTCTTTGGACCAAACTTAAGTTCCTATATCTGACTAAATCTATGCCTAATAAATACTACCTAATGAGGCAATTTTACAATTTTAGATTTGATCCCTCTTCAAGCGTTGAAGAAAACATTTATAAATTCACAAGACTGATTCAAGAATTAACTGATTGTGATGAGAAACTATCTGAAGATCAACAAGTTGTTGCTCTGTTAAATGCACTAGGTGATAAATACAGAGATCTGAGAAATGCCTAGTATGGAAGGATTGACCTTACTATTGATATTGTTATATCATCTTTAAGGAATAGGGATCTTGAATTGAAATCGGAATCAAAAGATCCTAAATTTGGAGAAGGTCTAAATGTTAGGGAAAAGGAATATCAACATAAAAAGATCAACCAGAAAAATCTATGCAATTTCAATTCACACAAGAAAAGAAGACCCCAATTTCCAAAATTCAGGAATCGGAATAAAACTCAAATAAGGCCCAAGTTACCAGCCAAAAAATGTTACTATTGTGGTAAGACTGGACATCTCATAAAAAATTGCTTTAAGAAAATATTTGATATGAAAGGAAAACAAATGCAAATGGGTCTGCAGCTATTGCCTCCAATAATGAATCTGATATTCAAGGAGTTGTCCTTGTTACCACATTCAAAAGAAACCTAAATGAATGGGTTTTAGACTCTGAGTGTTCTTTTCATATGTGTCCCATTAAAAAATGGTTCCCTAACTTTACTGAACTTAGTGTTGGTCAAGTTCAAATGGGAAATAACATGACCTGTCAAATAAAAGGTATTGGAAACCAAAAGCTTTTGCTAGAAAAAAAATAATACCCTTGAACTATCCCAAACCAGATATGTGCCTGATCTTCAAAGAAATTTGATTTCTCTTGGGCAGTTGGATGATGAATATGAAATCACGATCCATAAAAGATTAACTACAATAAGTCTAAACTCTAAAGAAATAATTTCTCCTCCTAAATCCAATGGGATTTTCACACTGCAGGCTGAACTATTGATTGAAAACAACTATGCAGTTGTGAAATCTCATGATAACACAACTTTAATTTGGCATAGGAGACTAGGCCACATTAGTGAAAAGGGATTGACTATTTTAAGCAGATTAAAATGTTTTGGAAATGTTGAAAAACTTGAGTTTTGTGAAGATTATGTTATTTGTAAACAAAATAAATTGCCTTTTAAAGCTGAGATCCATAAATCCACCTCTACACTTGAGTATTTACATGCTAACCTGTGGGGTCCAGTATAAGTAAGTACTCTAAGGGTGCGTTTGATTACAAGTAGGAAAATTACATGGAAAGAAAATGAATTCCAGGGAATTGAATTACCTAGAAATTGTTTTCATGGAAATTGTAAATTATTGTGTTTGATTGTATAAATTTTTCACGCGGAAAATGTTGAAGTAAAAGTATTTTTTGATGTTCGTTTGACTTTGTTTTACGTGGAAATTGTCAATTTCAGGGATATTCTCTTTTACAATTATTCCTAAAATTTGTTCCCATTGCCAACAATTAAAAAAAAATAAAAAAAGCAAAAAAATAAAAATAAAAATAAGGTGGAAAACCAAAAACCACATATCCCCTAGGAAAAAAAAGATGGAAAATCACGCTTTAAGGTGTTGTACCTAGAAATTCATGGAAAATCAATTCCCTGGAAAATTTTGTCAATCAAACAGGCCAAAAGTGGAAGTTGGAATTCGAATTCCAAGTTCCATGGAAAATTTCGTGTAATCAAACGGGGCCTAAGTGGTTTCAAATTTTATTTGTTGATTGTAAATGATTTTTCAAGAAAAAAGTGGACCTTTCTTTTAAAACACAAATATGATGCTTTCCAAACTTTTACGCAATGGAAACTTATAACAGAAAATCAAACAAATAAGAAGATCAAAGTGCTTAGAACAAATAATGGGCTTGAATTTTGTAATTTTGAATGTGACTCCCTTTGTAAAGAATATGGAATTTTGAGTATAGAATAGTAACATACACTCCTCAACAGAATGGTATTGCTGAAAAGATGAATAGAACCTTGTTGGAAAAGGTTAGATGTATGTTACTAAGTTCTGGACTTCCAAAATTCTTTTGGGGAGAAACCTTGAAAACTGCCACTTATTTGATAAATAGAATTCCCTCAAGTGCTATTGATTTTCAAGCCCCTGAATACTTGTGGTCTGGAAAGTCTCCAAATTATTTTAAACTAAGAGTTTTTGGTTGAGCTGCCCATTCTCATCAAGATGTAGGCAAATTGGAACTCAGATCTCAAAAATATGTTTTTTTGCGTTATGGAAAAGAAATAAAGGGTTATAGACTGTGGATAAAAGGTAAAGATGGGTTTAAGGTCATTATTGGTAGAAATGTAATCTTTGATGAAAGTCAGTTCCCTCGCAACAATTCATCATATCGAAACATTCTTGGATTAACCCCTGCTAAAGAAACTGTCCTTGAAAATCTGAAAAATGATCTTATTGAACCTAGTAATTTGACTAAGGTGAAGACTACTCGATCTGATATAAACCAGCCTCAAGATGAATCTGATATTGAAAATCAATCTCAAGAAATTGCTCTTGATAAATATCAGTTGATCAGGAACAAAGGTAGAAAAAACAGGTTCCCTTCTACCAAAATCAACACA